ACTTAAGTCACGTCCCATATAGACAAAATCGAATAGATTCTTTTCAATAGATCAGAGAATATTCAGAAGGGTTAGTTATAGATTTGTAGCGGCCTAGTTAGATGAAATATATTATATGTATAAGAGGTTGAATATAATATAGATAAGCACAATCACGTATACTATTAAGTGCAAATGTTCAGTTTACAAAACTTAACAGATATAGAATTTATAGGTTAAGCAAGTTATTATAATAGAAGTTGTGCACAGTGTAATCGATACAATATGCTAAAAAGATCAATTCACTCTGAATGTATAATTTACAAAGATTGCATAGAGTTGAATTTTAATTTATGTTACTTCTAAGGTTTTGCAAGAAAACATTCACACAAATTAAGAACATATACAACTTGATGTTATTATATCAGAGATACTAATTGAACAAAAACCACTTGGTAGTGAATCGTTCAATATGGATCATACATTAAATATTATTAACTGATTATGCATAAATTTGTTCCTCGAATTCCAGATTTTGTGTCTTGGTGGCCAAGCAATACATGGATATCAATCTCAAAAAAATAAGCTAATATAAATAAACAAACCTATAATTTTATTGAATCTATCACTATTATCATTATGCCAAAATAATAACTTAACCAGGTTGGCCAAAACATCATACAGCTAATTTTTATCAGATACACCAAGAATTATGATAATAGCAGTAAACTAAAATTCGGTCATCAAATTTGAGTATTTGGTTTTCAATTTTACTAAATTACATATAGTTTTCACTAATTTTAGAACATAATTATTTGCTAATTTGATAAGTTATTGATTTTGGTATGATCAGTGTAAATATACTTATTCTGGTTTACAGCTATTCTTATAAATTCTAGAAAATTTGGCAAAAGTTGACCAATTGAATGTTTGTCGATTCGATAAGCTTTAATTTAGCAGTGATAAACTTTTGATTTAGATGTAATTACATCTGAATCAAAAGTTTATTAAAGTTTATCGAATCATCAAATATTCAGTCTGTCAACTTTTGCCAGGTTTTCAAGAATTTATGAGAACAGCTATAATCAGAATCTATTCTATAAGATACTGAATTTAGGTCTGTGTTTGGGCAGAGCTTGGGCCGGGCTTAAATTAAAAAATAAACCCAGCCCGGCCCACTACTTTGGGCTTTTTTTTTCTGGGCCAGGCTTAGGCTCAAAAATATTTTTTGAGCTCGAGTATAGGTCCTAATCAAACTCATCCAACCCAGCCCATTCCGGACCCTACTGAGAACAAATACTTGCAAGCTGAAGCCACTATCGTTATCTACTACCATCCTTATAAAGTTCACCTAAACCTAAGCACCCATTATATAAACTATTCTCCATATACCTATCATCCCAAACTTTCAATCCAGATAGCCCAGAATGGCTGTGACCTGCCCTTGATTCCCACAGTTAGGTTCTTTTTTTCTGGTTACTTTCTGGTGACCAGGTTGGTGAAATACCTTGCCAAACACTTCAGTTTTGTTTGGTTTTTTGATTTTTTGATTAATAATTCTTTACATAGTACTGTCAAAGATCTGTACTACCTCTCTATTCAGGTTTTGCCAAGTAGGCTCCTGTGTGTGCTGACTCTGAATTTACATAGCTGTTTCACTTGGATTTCGTGTAACTTCTATATTACATTACATTCCACAGCCTCCCAGTACAACTAGTACGACCAGATTACAGATACCAATCCATTCAATTACACTTACAGTCTGCCGTAACACATTTTGAAATTTGAATTTTCGCTATTGGTGGGATTCGAACTCTAATCGCTACCACTTGGGAGTGCGATAACTTCATCACTTCACTAAGTCGCTACACCCTCTACATGAAATTTTTAAAAAAACCCATCTGATTATTAAAATATAAAAAATTTTTTACAAGTTTTCGAATTTTAATCTAGCCAAATTATAAAAATCAATTAATTAATTTTATATGATCTAATTGATTTATATAATAAAATTTTTTGCAATTAAACAAATCTACTTTTAGTCTAATATAATTTTTATATTTTAATTATTTATTATTAAAAATTTTATATAGTTATATTAGATAATTTTGATTGGCCAATAATATTATATTATACAATATAATACTTAATAACCTCTTTAATTCACTTTTTCTCTAAAAAATTAGATAATAAATATCTATATCCTTATTGTATATCAGTTGAAATAAGATTTCTGTAACTTTGATAATACTAACAAGATTAGAAGATTATAGAATTTATATAATATATAAATTATATAAAGATGATTATATAATTCTTAAAAATCAAAAAAACAGATGCTTACTTAATATGATCTAAACAAAAAAATAGTATAAATCTTTAATAGTAGTATTACTAAAATAAGCTACACTCAAGGCTAGTGAAACCAGATAAGGATCAGATACTTTAAGGCAAGATATTTCATCAGCCAAGCCACTAGAGTATTAATTAGAGAAAGAATAGTTTTTCTTCCAAACTATCTAGATTAAAAGTTTAAAGAAAATCAACTAGAATATACTAAAAATAAAAGATATTAGAGAAGATATTAGAGTATGGTGATTTAGTGAAGTTAGTAAGTTGTCGCAACTCCAAGCAGCAGGACAAGAGTTCGAATCCCACTGGTGATAAAATTCGAATTTTACAGAATATATTATAGCAGACTATGTGTAATCTGATAGATCATTAGATCTGTAGCTTTGGTCATATCAGCTTGTACTAGAAGAATGTGGAACTATAGTGTAATACAAAAGTTACACAAAACCTGAGTGAAGCGTTTGTATAAATCCAAGGGCTGGGGCATATAGAATTTCGCTTGGCAAGTCCTGAGTAGAAAGGTAGCACAGATCTTCGATGGTGCTACGTAAAGAATTATCACTAAAGATCTGAAAACTGGACAGGACCAAGGTGTTCGGCAAAGCATCATACCAACCAGGCCATCAGTATATTCCGAGGAAGGGATTATACTTCCAAACTATCTGAATTGGGAGTTTGGAAACCGGTAAAATAGTAGACAGTCTGTAAAGTGGGTGCTGGAGTTTGTGTGAACTCTACAAAGGCAGTAATAGGTAATGGTAATGGCTTCGGCTTGCAAGTACTTGTTCTTGGACTTGATGTAAGTTACCGAAAATCTAGATTAGCCGGATTGTAGATACAGAAAGCTCTAGCAACGATGCCTCGAGGATAAATTAGTCCTAAGACTATGGTATAGTTATCTATACGCAGACTACTTAAATAGATGCTCAAAAGGCGCACGTGTAGCTAGTTGTACTTTCTAATGTAATTAGGATTCTATTGTGAGCTCTCCGCCTATTATACTTGAATAAAAACCTCTACGCCAAAGAGGCTAGTTAATAAAAAAAAAAAATAAATAAAAAATAAAAGATATTAGTAGTCTTAAAAAAGAATACTAGAATTTAAATAAACTCTATAAAAATATTAATAGTATAACAGAAATAAAAAGCTGAAAATACTAGTTCTCAGATTAGATATAATCAGTAATAATTTCTAATTTAAAAATATATAAAATATAAAAAAATTAAAAAGCTTTTATTATGTCCATCTTGGTTAAAAATTATAATGTAATTTCAAAAGATTTGTTAGCCTAAATGGTTCTATAATAACAGTATAAAATATATAGTTTGAACTGTAGAAAGTAGTATAAGACGGGGATGCCAAATAATTTAAATAAATAATCTTCTAATTAGATTATAAATATACTGTAGAAGTTTAATATAAAACCTTTAGGCATACTACTTAAATAGGCAATTAAAGTTGCATGTATAACTAACTGTACTCTCATTAACAAAGAATATACTACTCAAAACTTGATAAAAATTCACCTATACTATATAGTAATTGGCATTTAGCAATATAAAAAAATTAAATAAATACAATTTTTTATAAAAAAAAATACTATATATAAATTTTTTAATATACTATAATTATAAAAAGTCTAACTATATTAACTAAATACAATTTATATAAAATTTATAATATACTATATACTGTGCAAAAATACCGTTCCTGATGGATCGTCGGTACTGTTCCTGATAGGGTGGGAAAAGAAATTGATTTACATACCGTTCCTGATAGGGTTCTAAAAAAGGGCCTCTAAAATACTATTCTACTATAATGAAAAAAGTTAGGATTAGGGTTCGTTTTTAGGACCCTATCAGGAGCAGTACTCAAATAAAAAATTTTTTAACTCCATCAAGATCGGTATTGCCGATCCATCAGGAATAGTATTTTTGCATATACTGTATATTGTAATATAAATTTAAAAAATAAAAACTTAAATACAGTATATACAGTATAGTAGTATATATACTATAGTATATATATAAATTTTATTTTAAAGCTTTAATCATTAATCTATTATACTATATTTTATTGATTAAACCCATTTTGTTAATCTCATATATATATTTTAATGGCATGATAAACAAGATTGTTTAACTAATAGTAGATACACAAACTAAAAAAGCTTTCTTTGCTGGTTAAACGTATATTTATAGATAATTTACATTCATGTGATTTTTTGTACTCCACGTACCTACCTCTTGTCTTATGTACGTGATGTACGTGTCACATCATCAAGAAAAATTCGCGACCAATCGGTAAAGATACCACTTTTGACATAGAAAATTTTCTCCCGAAGGCGTTGTGCACTTTACCGTCACTGGGTTGTCATGCTTAAGACTTGCTGGTGGGCGTTCTCATTGTTTGTTCCTTCGCACAACCTGTCCTGTCTTTCTTTTTGTGTCTGCGTGTGAATTCTGTGGATCGATGTAATAGAATCGAGTTCCCAGACCATTTCAAACCCTGGAAGAAAAAAAAATTGAATAAAAATATATAACACAAATTATGAAAAATCCTGTCAAATTATTATAGGTCAGAAAAAAATAAAGGGCTGATTTTTTTTGCTCAAATAAAAAATTTCGAGGTTTTTTCTTAAAAAAACTTCCTTCTTAAACCAACTGCCAATGGAAAACAGCAATGTGTCCTTAGTTGAAGATACTCATCATAAGTCACCGTCCATTCAACAGACGACAAGAACGTCTCATACCACCTCAGAACTTGTGCATTCACATGCGGTGAACCTTTCCATGCCGCCTGGCGGGCCGACTCATCCTTTTGGTTCCCTTATACACCCAACCCCTACTTCTACTCCACCCCCTCTACCTTCTATACAGCAGTTGCAACAAACAAGCATTCAGCAACAACCAATAACGTTTGTATTCGAACGGTTTTGTTCTGGTGTGCCGACACCTCTTTCTATGCACACACCTTTACCATCGCCGAAGCCTATTGTACGGTCAGACGACGACGCGATAGTAGATGCCAATGACAACAGACCACAACGAAGCCTTACCATTAAAATAACTCCAAATAACGACACTGCAAAAAAAAACCGAAAGAAGAGGAAGCATAATTCGTATGGAACTCCTATAGATTCTCCCATTTCGTTAAATAGGGACGAGGATTCAAAGTCAGAGTCGGAATATGGTGACAACTTGAATGAATATGTTACCAGAAGTGAGGCATTCTCGGTGTGTCATTCGTCTGCTCTCACCTGTTTATAATTATTCTTTCTCGTTTATGTTTTCTTTTTCTTTTCAAGCATTATTTTAATTTTATTTTTTTTATCGTCGACATTGTCATTTCGTGGCGCAGAAATCAAAAACTTATTATTTATATATTATTTACATTTTAAATAGGATTACGATACGGAAGATTCGTCAATGATAACGCCAGTAGATGCATTAAAAAGATTATTAATGCAATTCACTGCTATGTCTCCTATGAGACTTGAATCCATATTACCAGTACTTTTAGATAACGATATAGATGACCCTGATATTCTTCTCTTAATTGAAAACGAACAATTCCTTCGCGACCTTCGTGGTAAAAATGGTTCTGAAATTAGTAGGGGTAATTGTTTGTTACTTTGGCATGGTATTCAAGAACATCGAAATAATTGTTCTGCTGTTCACACGCCAAAATCATTTTCGTCATGCGCTCCATCAGATTTGTTTTATTTCAATTCAAGCGTAACACCAGCTCAAGGCTTTCATCGATCATTCAAGACGTCGATAA